CCCATTCAAGCCATCTCCAACCATTATTAGTCTCAAAGTGGGTTCCTCATCATTGCATATGATTACCAATGGTGTTGTGATGTGCTCTCATATACTTGTTTCAGTTTTATGTTTTGACATCAGGTACTTGATAGCTTAATTAAGAAATGGGGTAATGTATTAGTGAGAATAATCTGTATCATAGTTGAAATAATAACATGGTGTTAAATTACTTCTGTATCATGCAGAAGATGGCAGTGGGGAACTGAAGGATCGCATGATGGATGAAATGGAATACGTATTACTGCCTCAAGAAGGTTGGAATCTTTTACATTCCTGGTACACGTTGGCTCCTGGTCAGGAACCAATTGCTCGGAAGGTAGTGGAATATGGAATGTTTATGAAACAATGCAAGGTAAGGACAACAGATATGTATAATGAAGTACAAAATTACACCTAGTTTTGAAATATTAGGTTCTAGTGAACTCATAACAGTATATTGAGATTCGTGAAAAATAAATTTATTCCAATTAAATCATTCCCTTCATTATAAGTATTCCTTAAGGAAAAGTAGCCATTGGCTTAATTTTAATAAGATATGTTGGGTAAGGGTAATGAAAGCAGTAAGCAAAGTTGTTACAAAAAGCAATATTTTACTGAAAATTCTATTTAGAAGCTTTGTCTTTGAATATAGCTGTTCTACGTCAGAAAAATAGCTTAAAATGCTTTTAGTCTACTATGTGCACATCTTCTAGAAAGTTTTAACCCTCATTAGAACATCTGAGATCCACATGGACTTCAACAACTTTCTTGGTTATATATCATTACAGATTTATATCAATTCATGTAATTGTCAAGCAGAAACCCTGGATCAATGTGACACTACTGTTTTTGAAACAGGCAGATGAAATACATAGCTATAATCTAATATTTATTTGGAGTCCATGTGGATCCCATATTATCATTGACCATCACTATACATGCAGTTTGTCCTATACCATACAAAACAAATTTCTAAACATTTATTTCACCTTATAGGCTGTTATAGAGGATATTCCATCAAAGTAATACAGTATCATCTTGTCTGTTTGTGTATAACATCACTGTGCATCTCATTCCTCAACACGTGTTTCACGTGATGACTGTTTATAATGCTCTATTTTATGTTGTTGTAAATAACCTGCTTATTGGATTTACAATCCATAGCCTACTTCAAGGATACACTTGTGTTGGGGTCTGGTCGAACCCTAGCTGACCCACAACGTGCACTTTCAGTTTTCATTGAGTTGAATTTTGCAGTATTGTGGTAATCTCATCATATATTGGTGGGTAATGACTTGAATATAGGAGTATAATAAAACTTCAGCATTTTTTTGATATAAGGAATGATTTAATATCACTTATTTGTATGACAATGTAATTTTGCGATTTCTTGATTTCAAAATATTTCTTCTAGAATACATATATTTTTGTTGTTCACATTGCATGCTAACCCTAATAAAAGTTGTATTGCAATTGGTTTTTGGAATTTCAAACCAGATTTTACTATAATAGTGATTTTATGCTGGAGTCCAGTTGGAGCCCATGTGCTCTATAACGTAACTTTTCAAAGGTATGCTGATGAGGGTTAAAACTAAGATGTGAAAGATATATAAACAATGTCATTTTTACTAACCTATTAGAATGTATATGCACTTCATAATTCTATATATGATACAAGGCAGTGCAAAAAGGTGTTCAGTATCATGATATTTCTACATTCTGCTCATACTTTTATCTTTATAAGAAATGTTTGTGTTTGACTAACTGTCCCTCTTTTTTGTGCAATAATCGAGATGTCATTAACCTTGAAAGAATATGTTAAAGTAATCATGTTGTGACATTAAGTTCTGATATTGGTGGTTCACATTTCAAACATCTGTAAGGTCAGCACTTAGAAATGTTATGGTGGTGAGCAAATTTGTGTCTTTTAAGAACATAATATTCTAAAGTTTAATAAATTTATTTGAACTTTGTACTTGCTGTACAAGCTGAAATATGACTTTGTTCCTCATACACAAACTTTGGTTCTTTCTTCATCTCAGACTAAGAAAAGAGTTGGAACTCTTGTTATGATTTTTTTCAATAGTCATAGAATAATAGCATATGGCATACTTTTCTGAATAAATGTGAATTAGTGTGTTAATTCCTGAATCACATGCTTCAAACTTATTTTTAAGTCAGCTCTCATCAAGTCCAATAATTTTTCCTGGTTTATTGTTGCTCCTTCAGGGTGTATACAGTTAGGGGATTCTTTTTTGACCAGTAATTACTAACAGCGGTGTATTGGCTAGCTACTGTGTCTGGTATATAAGCTCAATAATTCATTTAAAGTTGTTAATGTGGTG